AAAATCTTTACCCCTTTCTCAAATCGAGCCGATCTCAGATGCCTGTCTGTGTGACGTCACAAAAAAATGCGCCCCCGATCTACCTAAATATGTAGATCTATGTTCACGAATTATTTGTGATCCAGCTTCACCTACAGAAGTGTTTAAGGTTTTTAACGAATCTTTGCAAATGCCTTTCCTAATAATGTGCTAATTAGCAAGTTTCATGATGAATGCAGCTTAAGTAAACAGTCCCTCAGAGAGTGGCTCAGAAGAGAGGGGCGGGGTCAGCAGAGCTCATTAACATTTAAAAGAAAATGCTACAAAATGGCTTGCTCTGAAAATAGCTGTTTTAGGCAGGGTAAAAAGGTGTTTTTTACACTACCATTGAGAAATTTTAACCAAACTATGTTACAGACTTTTCATTAAGACCCTAAAGAATCATATCAACTTGTGGAAAATGGGCAATTGGATGACCCCTTTTAAAAATCTGACTGGCCCACAATAAACAAAATGGTCCGGCCCCTCTGGCATTTGCCAGAATTGCCAGATGGCCAATCCGTCCCGGGAAGTTGTAAAAGTAAACAAGCTCATTGGCCCACATGTAAATGCTTTACCGGACCGACACAATTTAACTCTCTGTGGTGAACTCAAACAGCACAGGGAAATAAGGAAGTAAGCAATAAGGAACATTAGCAAGAAAGGCCGATCGCGGGGACTGCAGCTCAAAGAGTGACAGGAAATAATAGCATTCTTGTGAAATGTAGGCTTCTATTTTTAAAGTCTGATTGGATATGTGTTGACCGAGCTTCCTACATCACAGATGGAATCAGAGGGCCAGAATAACCTTCCATATCAATGATTAGATTACGTCAAACAGTGGATACAGGTGAAATGTCAGTGTGCCACACAGCCCCCGTGCATTGCTTCTCTCTAGAGGCTGTGTTCTGATTAAATTAGCCTAACGTGGGAAGTTGCTAATCCGAGCCAACCCAGGATTAAGCCTGCAGGACATGAGAGTACATGGGAGAATGTGTGTTTGAGTGTGGGCTGCTGAGTGGGTGGTGGATAACGAGGGTTTGTGGAGAACAAATAAACCTTGCAGAACATGAGGCTAACAAAGATACTCCTGTAATTACGTTTTGTCTTAATTCATCATGTGATATATAAAATTCACTGAAATGTGTATTAATAACAATCAATGCACACTTAATTTGCTTTGGAATTTGGCTGATGTGTTGGGTGAATTCTGTAGTGCTCACTCTCGGTTTCCTTAAAGAAGTGCTTACATTAACTTTTTCATAATGTGGTCAAGCACTGCAGGGGGCTACTTATGCAAGACTATACAAATGCCATATGCCTACAAATCTACTAATGCCTGGAACAAAAGATGCAATATTGTGATTATATATATATACATATATATATATATAGAATACCTGCCTCAGTGGGCTCGTGATTAGCAGAGGATTAAACACTTTAAAATAATGAAAAGGCTGTTATTTGCATCACGTAGGTTAAGTATGTCATAACTTGTACAACAGTTATTTTCGGTCCTCAACTCTGATTGGCTGAGTGGCTCGGTATGTGGATCGAATCTCATTGGTTAATCACAGATCACTGGTCAGATATTTCTTAATATTCGCGTAGCATCTCATATTGAGGAATCACGTTGTTTTTGTTGGTCTTTCTTTCTTACGAACGCAAATGTCACCATCATGCATCTCAGTAATCGCAACACTAGTGGAAAAACGCAATAAAGGTAATAATATTATTGCAGTGGTCGTCTTGTTGCTTGGTCAATTGTTTAGTACATTATAATGGACTTTTTAGCGGAAGCATTAAGATACAGGTATTTCAATATTTCATGTAGATCTATTTATTTATTTGGTTGAGTAAGCTTGATAGTGTACAGTTAAAAGTCAATGTTGCAAATACGAATTACCAAATCAGCATAGGCTATTACAATGATTTATGAAGGATCATGTGACAATCAAGACTGGAGTAGGCCTATGGTTGCTGAAAATTCAGCTTTGTTTAATCACAGGAATACATTTTATTGTAAAATATATTGAAGTAGAAAACATCCATTTTAAAAGGCAATAATATTTCACATTACCACTATTTTACTGTATTTTTGGTCAAATAAATGAAATGCAGCCTTGGTAAGCATAAGAGACCAAAAACATTAAAAAAATCTTACGAACCCCAAACTTCTGAATGGTAGTCAAAAATCTCCCACGCTCTGTAAAAGCAAACACACCTGCAAAGTTGGTTGTCTTCTCGCTTCGTAACCTTTTCACGTGAATTAGGTGGAGGTGTAAATTATTCTTGTGTAATTTTTTGCATTACCACAGTACTCATTTATTCCCACTTCCTGTTGACAGACCTATGAGCCATGGCCCTACGCATTGGCAGGTGTGTCCTAATGCTTCCCTCTCTCTTTCAACAAAAGAATCAGGGTAAACAACAATCGGGAAGGGGCTGACGGATACAGACTGTTGACAATTTCTCAAACATGAAAATGGGAACGGGAATGACTTTGATGGTTTGGAATGCTGCTCACCCACACATGCACAGACGCCCACATATGTCCCACACATGTCTCACACATTTGAATGCACATAAAGATACTGATGTGACACTTCAAATCCTTCACATCCACCTTTTCCATTTAAAGACGTTCTTGCATGAATAAGGCTAATTGATTCATTGAATGCTGTTTAATTGGCAAGAGCAAAAAAAACTCTTCAACCTAATTCCCTTTAGGGTGGGAAAGCAGCTAAACCTTCTTACAACACATTGTGTCAGCTTATTAGAAGCACTGTACAAAGACTTTATTATTCATCTACAATTTGTAAATCAGTTTCAGGTTTACAGCCTCCACCTTGCCGCATCACTGCTTTGAAAAGGTGATGAGGGAAGGTGTTTATGGGAGTATACGGCACATATTTCAGTATTGTAGTATACCAGTTAGGCATAAAGTTATAACTGCATCATTATTATGTCATGACTGATAATAACATTTTATGCAAAATAAAAAAAAATACAGTTGGCTACAAAAAAATTGCGCTAGGCCATGTAAACTCCTCCTCATTTACTTAAAGTGAAATATAGTTGTCCTATATTTTAGTTTTGCCTTAGGGTGGAGTTCACCGGTTTAAACTAGTTGTTTTTTTCTAATTCTCAAATTATTTGCTTATATAACATGCCAACATTTATATCTTAAAATATTGCAGTATTTCATCAATATTTCTCATCTTTAACATTTCTGCTGCTGTATTGAAGTGGCGTCACAAACTTCTTGAGATTAGTATTCCACATAAGTTTGTTGTTTACCATAGACTTCTCTTGTATCCAAGCAATGTGTTTTCCTTGACTGGTTGCCCAGTAACCTCTTTATGACGTCAGGACATAGTTACGCCCCTCCTAAATCAAAGGCTACTCCACGTTAACATCGTTTAAGGTGGCTCAGATCTTATATTTTGACTAAACGTGTTTTTCCAACCAAATGAAGCTTGTTCACACTCTTAGATTTCATCTGAGTGAAACTTCAGTCAGAAATTCATACAATTTTCCGAAACCTCCATAAAGAATCAAATAAAGCATGTGATTTAAGGCCTCCACCTTAAATCACATGCTGACATTGCAAGAAGCAAAGTCTCCACCCATTCTGTGAGCAGCTTTGTAAAGAGGTGTTATACTTCAACTCCAACGCTCGAATGCTGTCACACGGTGTAGTTTCAGATAGCAGGAGCACTGGAGTAGACTTGGGATTTAAACAGGTATCTGCACTGGGACGGCTGATTCATTTAACCAAGTGTACCGGCTGTTGTAGCCACATCTTAGTGGACATTTTTTGTGGACAAACCTAAATTACATTATAATTTTCTCTATACATGCCAAAACTAGGCAACCTTGTGGAGGAATCTGAGACATTGTCACGAAACTTTGAGGTTTTCGCCACAATACTTGGTGAGTGTCAAAAGGATATTTTCTATTAAGGATGGTGAACTTTTTTGGACAACTGCTGGGTTGCGGTCAATTCTGTTTGAATTTTGCAGTAGTATGCGAGTTCTTTACTTTTTAATTTGACTTGTTTTAAAACTTTTGAGTAAAGTCAATTTTAAAAACTAGTTTCTGACTTCTTAGATGATTTGGGACTGATTGAACTTGAAAAGGGATTCACCTCCAAGTTAAAATACTGTCATTTTACTCATCCTCTTGTTGTTTTGTGTCACTTTCTTTCTTCGGTGGAACACAAAAGGAAAATATTAGGAATTGACATCCACAGATTTTATGCAATTGCATGTTTTTTCCTTAAAAGAGTCACCAAGATTGTAATTCTAACTAAAAGTGTCATTTTGTTCTCTATGGCGGAAAAAAAAGAAAGTCAAATGGATTTGGAACAACATAAGGATAGGTGAATGACAAAATATTAAAAATTTTCCGTGAACTTTTTTCCTTTAAGTAGCACAAAAATATTAACCTCATAAGCTTCCCATTGATGTTTATTTCTTGCTTATACAAAAATTAGTTGTTATGGATCTGCATGTTTATGCTTCATATTTGCGTTGCCAATACCTCCTTTCACCACTGGTAGGCGCTCAAGTTTCACTACAAAGTAAATTGCACTTGGATGGATAGATTTTTGTCACACAGGTTAACGTAAATCAATGATGGCTATGCTCATGCACCACGTGAATAAGTTGTAAATTCTGGTGTACGGCACAAACAGCGTTTTATCCGCATGAGGCATGCATTTCGTAAAAACGGATCTGCTATATAACCCAAAACACGATATTGTATCAATAATTTAAGTTTTGTTGTACAGATAAGGTGCTATATCATAACTGGCCTACCATCTGCAGACGTTTGCAGACTGTAGCTTACAGTTACAGTTACAGCACATTTGGCACGAGATCGAGATAGTGAGTGACGTAAGTGTCAATGTGTGTGTATCGCCCCAAGCGATGCTTATTATACTGTATGACTGGGACGCAACGTTTCCTTAAGAGCATATTGTCTTTTATGGGGGACTATTTGAATAGAGATAATGATAACCGTAATACATGCTTTTAAACGTAAGCTGCACACGTATAAAGATGACAGGCTCTTAGAACATGCGTGGATGATGATATATTTGCATATGGAGTATTCTTCAATTAGGGGAAGTGTTCTGTCCTCTAGCAATGATATAAAAATGCATTTTAGCTTTGAAAGATATATTATTATAGTTTTAAACATTTAACTGTGCCTCTTACTCACTCTATAGAATATCTAAAGACGTCATAAATGTTACATTTCTCAGTACTGAACTTGTCCCACACCAAGGAATTTACTTTTTATTCTGAATACACTTTCAATTTATAATACAAAAAATATATTTATAATAAGTAGCCCAATCACTGTTCTCGGAAACATTATTATTATTACCACTAGTACTACATACATACATACATACATTCAAAATATGTTAACTTGCTAGCAAATTTTGTTACAGAAACTGAAAATACAATTAAGAATCACCCATATCAGTGTGTGAAATAGGCCTATCACAAAAATGCTAAGACCGTTTGTTCTGTGGAGGAAAACGTTAAAAAAAAAAACTGACACGGTGGGCAACAAACATGCAACCTAAGACACTTCTTGGTTATTATTCTTGGCTAATGTGTTGTATTTTGTAAACAGAGTGTTCAGTGTTGCTATTTAAACATTCATGGTTATATTGGGTGACTTGTTACTTTGAAAGTTTGCCTCCTGAATGGTGTGAAATTGGTACGAGTGGGCTGGAACTCCAGGACAGGAGCTCCTCGCCCACTCAGATTGGATTTGTCCTCAATGAGGAAAGCGATGTGGGGGAGAGAAAAGAGGCGGGGTTTGCGCTCCACGTGGGTGAGCAGCACATCCCTCCATTGGCTACACATATGACGTCATTGCTTGCGCCTTATGTGATTGGGCAGAGCCTTTGTGGGTGTGACCAAAGCAGCACGGTGGAAGCGAGATACGGTGAAACAACGGGCATTATTATGCGCGTTTCACTGGAGTTTCTCTTCGCGATGAGGGCTGCGCTTTAAAAAAAAAAAAAGGGGGCAAAAAAGGTCGCACTGGTTTTGCAGTACACTGTCAACGACAAAGGACTACAGTTACAGAATATGCATTTTAATGCACTATCGGAAAGATAGAATTAAATACTGCTGTAAAAGAAGCTATTAGGATCACCGCAGGATCGATCACCAAACGGGAATAATAATTGGGAATATTTTCCAAGAGCTTTTACAGATAGAGAGATCCAGCCCTATCCCTCCACTTCCATCGACCCTGTCTCCTCTATCGTAGGCTATCGAATGGACCAGCATCCGAGCGCCCGGAGCTGCAGCAGTCGCGGAGCTGCGCCGTCCTGCGAGAGCGTATCCGGCGAGCCCCCCATGAATTTGTACATCCACTCCACCACCGGCACACGCTTCGAGCTCTCCCTGCCCGCAGAAGAGACCGTGGAAGGGCTAAAGCGAAGACTCTCTCAAAGACTGAAAGTACCCAAAGAAAGACTCGCTCTGCTACACAAAGAAACGTGAGTAGTAGTCTGATGTGTTACTGTTAGACTGCACGGTTAGTTATTTTTAACAGTGGTTAAGAGCAAGTCAGAAGGTGGGTTTTGGCTGGGCTTCCGAATGGAGATTTTAAGCCACCTCTGATGGCAAGCCGTATTAACATTATTAATTTAAACTAACTAGCTGGCTTATATTTTTATGTTACGAGTGCTTGTTTTTATTACTAGTACTTAATCCAGTAGTGACTAGTGTATCTTCCATTTCACACACACACACAAAAAAAAAGAGATACGATTAGTATCTATTCAATTAATCACTTGTAATTATTCAATAAATATTAGAACATATTCCTTAACTAGTCTATATATAAACCATTCACATCTGACTAGTAGTTACTAGTAGCTATTCCAGTTTAGTTCTTCATTAGGTTGTAGTACTGATTGTTTAGTAGTTTTGAACCAATCAGATAGTCATTATTATCTGTTCTGGTTACCAATATTGGGATATCGACTACTAGCAAAACAGTAAGCACTAGTATGCAAGGAATGAGCAGTTGCTGACTAACTGAATAGATAGTAGTCACTACCGGAGTAGTCAAGTGGTAGTATTTATGACAAAGAAAGGTAGTCAGTAACTAGTACAAAATATACATATGAATGAATACATATTTTAATGGCTTGCCATGGACACCTGCATCATGGAGCTCTGGGTCATGTTTTAATACATAACAACATTACAGTCCATGTTACAATGTCTACCATGATATTTTTGCTGTGGCAGTCCACAGCCTCTTCAATAGAGAAGTGAAAGTGATCAATGCTGTTGACAGTGTGCTGTGGAAATCAGTTTAATATAGGCTATGTGCAAGGTGCAGAAACCTGCATCACACCTGAAACTGTACTACTAGTTCAAAACATTATGCAAGCAATGTCAGTTTAATGGCTTATAAAGGACCCAAAGTTGTACGCAACTGACAGCAGTGCATGCATATAAATAGAATTTCCTAATCTCTTGATTAAACTGGTTGCTTTGCTTGATTAGAATATGCATGGCGTTAGTAATTGTCATTTTAAACTGGATGCCGGGGAATAAAGCATTCCTAGTGGGACTCGCACGGCGGTGTTAGAATATTCTGAGCGAACGTTAAGAGAAAAAGGGGCAATGTTAGTTTCAGTGCAGTTTGCACATTGCCTAACAATTGCACTTGGGTTGTGGAGCTGGGAGGTGAGAGAGAAGCTCTTTTGTCACTTGCAAATGACCCTAACAGTTGCATTGTTTGTGCTTTGAATTAGGCCGATTGAAAAATCCTCACAAGTAATCACCACCAAATTACATCATCCTTTTAAAAGGAAGAGAGTCGCTTAATCTCTTCTGTTTGGTTTAGCTGCCTCCAGGCCAAGTGCTCAGTGCCTTTGTTCGGCAGGAGGTGGTGACATTTAGCCTGAGCACATGTGTACACATTTATGCCACTAGGACAGATATTTTCAAGAGATTTCTGGTTTAAAAATACATTTACTGTGTGTTTGAAACATTTGGATTCATGCGGGGGTGTTTTTGGAATAAACATGCTGATTTATATATGCTGTGTGGTTTTTGGTCTGCTGGTATAGGCTACAAATGTAGTAGCCTAGAATTGTTTTACTTTGTTTCGTATACTTGTCTAAATAAGTATTTTCTTGTAAAAAAGAAAACGTACATCATAACTGGGCCAAAATATTATTTCCATGGTGGTTTTGTGTATAATTAAAGAGAGAGTTCACTCAAAAATGAAGATTCTCACCCTTGTGTTGTTCCAAACCTTTAAGACCTCCTTCTGTAGAACAAAAAAGTGTCTCAGTGTTGTTGTTTTTTTTTTTATCCATACAATGAAATTCAATGGGATCCAATGTTGTTTAGGACAAAATCTGTTGCAACATTCTACAAAATATCTTTTGTATTTGGCAGTAAGGCATAAACAGATCTGTTTTGGAAATTTCCGCATCTTGAGATTTTAAGTGTAACATCTCCTTGTTTTTTCTAGACGCCTGAGTTCAGGAAAACTTCAAGATTTGGGAATAACGGATGGGAGCAAGTTAACGCTGGTTCCAACAGTTGAAGCAGGCCTAATGGTAAAAATAGCATGACCTTCATTACATGTGCTGTACTTCGCCAACTCTTTTTGTCACACATATTTACCTTGTCGTTTCTCTCTTCTCAAAGTCTCAAGCATCAAGACCTGAGCAGTCAGTAATGCAGGCGCTGGAGAGCTTGACGGAAACACAGGTAAGGTTTCAATCTAATAAGGTCATCCCAGTATATGTTTGAATTACACAGTGGCCCATTACATTGGACAGTTGTGCATACACTTAACCTAATTGCCAGGGCAAGAGTAAACACCCGCAGCTGACTCTTTTCAAGGATCATTTGTTGGTTTTTGAACTCTCTACTTGGCAAGATGTTGCACTGACACATAGGGTAATGGGATACAGATGATGCCCTCCTAAGCTTTTAACTTGAGGACCTCCACACACTTACTACGCATATTTTAAGAAGCACCTTCCAGTTTCTAGGCAACATCTGTGAGACGAGGCAAACCCCACCTAGAAGCCACTTCATTGAGATGCCACCTTTCATGTGCAAGAAACTCTGCAACTTCTATTTTATGTCCAACTATGATTATGCCACTTTCTAATTTGTATTTTTATTTCTAGCTAATGGTTAAACCTTAGCTATTAGTTATTTTCACTCATTTAACTTATTGTTTACATTTTTAAATTGCAAATGTCACCCAATCAGTTGCTGGATATTGACCAAAATCTCTTTCAAATACACTTGTATGTGCATGAAATTAGTCTGCCACATGCCTCCACTGCATCTTCTTGCTGATATTTTGGGAAATCCTGTGTTATTCTGTTTGTGTGTGAGTGATATGGGTGTGCATTTGTGTAGGAGAGGAAAGCGCCTATCTGTAATGACGACAGAGGAGTGTGGATGTGTGCGTTCGAGGGGGAAGGGTAGACAGGGGAGTGCACCGCTCTTATCGTTCAATACGCCTTCTCCCGGCAGCTGCAGTGTCTCCTGTTTCTGTAGAAAAGCTTTTCAACCTGTGAAGAGTAACTGCGTTTGGCCTTTCTCATCAAAAAACATTTTGCAGTACCATGCAAACGTTACTTGTGTTTTTTCTCTGTTCTAATGTACTATTTGTAGGCAGCTAACTGTGTCATCTGGCCGCTTACGAAACGGCCCCTTTTTAGAAATCATCATTTTTAGTCATCATTCATGTCCTTTTTGTAGCTTCATGGTTACAGGCATGAACTGAGTCAGTAACATTGTCAAATGCGAGACATATCATTCTTTCAGAATTGAAATTAGTCAACACAATCGTGCCACCACAACGAATGTAAAAAGTGATCTGCGCTCAACAATACCTACTCGTCTTGCTAGATAAGGTTGGGTTTGTAGTTACAGGGGACAACCACATATACACAGCAGAATTCCAAGAGCTACGGCGCTTGCTTCCAGGGAAAGTTCTATCTCAGACTCCTCGTAACCAGACTGTTTTATGGAAAGTGAAGGCTTGCAATTATTGGAATGGCATTTTTCCCTTGTTACTCTGGCCTAACAGCTTTTTCTGGCCTATAATTTAAAGCTGCTGTGGTTTCGTGTGTCTCTCCATAGTCTCTAGTTTTACCCTCTCTGCCGTTAAAGAGGAAGAATGAAATGGCATCAAGGAGTTTCTTAGTTCCAAGGGAAAATATAGCCCAGTTTCTGCACTCCACTTGATAGATCAGCTGTCCTCTTGAACATTAAAACGCCACTTTTGCATTCAAACGGTGCTTTGTTGCTGGTAACTCTGCCCATCAAGTAGAAATAATGACTGGTGTCTGATTCTTCAGGCGACAGAGTTTGTTAATTAGCGGTTTCTGTTCTAACCCGCCTCTAAAGGCAGGTAGATTGCTCGCTTTGTCCTTGGGGGATAACATAGCGGTTTGTTTCCACAAGCAAGCGCCTTTTCCCTAGTTTCAGTGCTACACACTAGAGATGTTTTTCTGTCATAACTCTCCACCCTCCAGACACCCACCTACCCACTTTAGAATGGGGCCGGGGCGCCTGTCATTGTGTCTGGAAATGGACGGATGCAAATAATGGGATCCAACAATTTAGAGCGAGTCACCTCTGTCACCCCCTTGTCATTTCCACCCACCCAACCCCCTTCCCAGAGGGAGCAAGGGAAGGAGAGTAACTAAGTCTGAGAGATGGCCATAGTGACGTCACCCTTGACAAGGGCCTGTGATTACTGGGAAGGACAGTGATGAGTCAGAATCCCAGGTATAGATTGAGGACGAAAATAGAAGCGGTGGGATCACACGTCATGCTGAGTGGCAAGGCTCCACAGGATGCCGATGGCTTCTGTGCCATATCTACAATTAATTTTTTTGATTTGACAAATATTTGAAATAGAAAACGCGGGTGTTGGTGTGTTGTGGGAACAGCTGGCACATGGGAGGAGAAATTAGTTTGCGTTTCTCTGATCAGTGAACAGGCCCATGCCTATGTGTGTTTGCACGGAGAGCACTCCCAATCCAAGAGGGACTATGTTGACATGGGCAATCACTCAGATTCGTGACTGTTCCTGTTTCCCATCCGCCTTTGTGATTGAAGTGCTTGGTTTCGTGACTGAACTGAAAAGGAAGGAGGGAGGGGGGGCTGTGGAGAACTTCTCATTAGCCAATAATCAAGCCACCAGCTTTTTTAATTAGGGTCAAACTCCTCTTCTGTACTGAGCCATTTTTTTCCATTTGTTTTAGCACTGTTCCTTATACTTGGCCTTCTTAGTGTTTCTTTATATTGTGACATTTCCCTACATGTTTTTTAAGTCATTAATTAATGCTGAATCCCATGATTGTAGATATTTTGAATCCTGTTGGCTGCAAGTGCGATACGTCTGTTTTGACTCAGTCTCTCGCCTACCTAGACCAATCTGTGCAGTAATCTTTTGGGCTGCGACTATAAATCGATGCAGAATCGATTCATGGATCGATTATGAGATCTTCCGAATGCATCGCGATTCTCTCTGGAATCGGTTCTGAGCTTAGATTTTAACAGCAGATGGTACTCTAATCTAGTTTTTATCCGCACATTCAAATGCTCATGAAGAAGAGTGCTAAAGAGCGCTTGTGCGTTCGGCTGAGGCATGTAATTTAACCTCGGTTCAGAATGCTTTTATCACGCAAGATTAATGTAAACACAGCCCACTGTCAACACCCTTCGCTTTAAACTTTTCGAATTTTATGAATGATTATTTTAGGTTCAAGTGTGTGTTAGGATTTGGACACAAGCAGAGTACCGCTGTTTCTAAAGCATGCAGCGCCATCTGCTGTTCAAAACTAAGCTCAGAATCGACTGGAGAAAGAATCACGATGCATTCTGAAAATCTCAGAATCGATGCTGAATCATTTCACTTTCACATTGCGCTTTCACGGTGCATATCTTTGATGGTCACCCAGAGCTCAGAGCATGAGGAAGAGTGGACACAGCCGGAGCTAAAAAAATTTAAAATGGTGTCATCATTTGCCTAATTTCCTTCTGAACCTGTATGAACTTTCTTTATTCTGTGTAAAAAAAAATTAAAAAGTCTAATATTTTGTTCTCCACAGAAGAAGAAAGAAGTCATATAGGTTTGGAATTACATTAATGATGACAACATCTTTATTTTTGGATGAACTGTCCCATTAAGTATTCGGTTTTGGTCAACAGACATGATGGAAAGAGGCTCCTTGCAAGTTCTGACTTTTTAGTCTTCACCCACTGAATCCTCACCATTCAATCTCTTGTAGACCTTGAGTAGGTCAAACCCCTCGAGTGAGATCTTTGAAGGTAGTCTTTTCTTCAGGGTTTGAAGAAAGATGCAAGTGATTGATTATTGTAAAGGAGCTTGTTATTGCATCCACACCCTTCATGCCCCTTTGCGAGGACCATATTGATGGCCCCCTAGTGCGTTCAAAACCCACCAGTCGATGGTGAGGGTTAATAAGCTTGTTTTGAACTTTCCGTGTTTGCTGGGGCCTTTGATAGGTGACCAGTAGTCTTTTAGTCATGCTTGGTATCAAAAGAACCTGTTTTCTTGCTTGACCCCTCAAAGATGGGTGTCTTCAGGCTGTGGATGAATGTCAGTCTGGTGCTGTTCCGAGCTCCTGCCCCGCATCTCCTGTGTTACAGAAGAAACCGCCTGCAAATGAGTTCCTTGAACCGCAGGGACCCCAATAAATAAAACTGTCAGCTATAGAGTTGGAAGGGAGGAAAAAAAACGTAAGGAGCTAGAGGCGTACTCTCACTGAATATTTCATCAGTATCTACTGGCATCCTCACACCCCTCCACCCTCTCTCTCTCTCTCGCTACAAGGTTTCTCCCCCAGCCCTCCTCCCCTGTCTCCCCTTATCATGTTTTCTTTCTCTCTCCTTCACTCGCTCTTCACTGCATAGCAACTGCAGCCCACTGCAGAGCAAAATGCCTCCCCAACAAATCAAAATGGATGAAGTGTAAAGATAAAGGAAGAGTAGCACTAGTCTGTCAGGTGAACCAATGTTGGCTTAGCCAAGTATATAGTTCTTCAACATGGTAACTTTATTGCCATAGATGTACATATCTGCCTTTGTTGATTTTTAATCAGCCTAAATAAAATTGGCAGATTTCCGCATTTTCTGCACTGATTTTAGGGTGAAATTTGCTGACTGAATAGACAGAATGGATACTTCACCTTCACAAAATACTATATTTGTAATGAATTTGCATTGTACTTCATTCTTATTGTTAGCATATTATCCTAAATGTTGTATACATGAAAATGGCTGCAAAAATGTTGTAATTATTGCCGTTCTAGTTATGCGGAAAACTTTCTGAGCCTGCACATTCCATGTGGGGCTGTTTTGTAGAGAATATGACCTCTAGTTTAGTCATTTTTGATGTAGTGACTGAAGAAAGGGTGGATCCAGGTAGGCTTCTGGCTTCAAAAGTATTTCCAAGCCAGTGTCAAGAGCGCTCTGTTATAGAACTTGATCTGTGTGCCTTGATGAGAGAGTGAGTCAGTGGCCTTAAGAACAAAGAGACCTGTGCAGACATACACTTGCGGTCTCTTTTGAGTACCTTATCCATTTTAGGTGATATAGACTACATGTTAACACTTCAGGCTCCATACACCTGACAGATTCTATATAGCTGTGCTAGGTAAAGTGTGGAATTTCTGGCCACAAGTCTTCTGAAACTCTTTATTATAGGCAGATTTCTGAGGGTAACTAAATATTGTTTTTTTCCACAAGCACCAAGACTCTCAAAAATGGTCTGTTAATATATCTTTGTTGTTTCAGTCAAGTCAAGAACCCTTAAACAACACAGAAACATTGTACAATGTATACTTGCACACACATTCCTTAGATGCTGTGTAAGTGAAGACTGCGGATCCGTAAACCTACTGTGTCTTTGTCTTTGTGGTCATTCGGTTATTGCACTAGAAGAGTGTAGGCTGGCCGATGTATCGACAAAGGTCTGTGTGACTCAAACTGACGGCTTCTGTGGGGAATGTCTCTGCAGACCACGTCCTCGCCTTTCAGAGGCACTTTTACTGGTTGTGGGGGTTCACACACTCTCTCATTATGTGGGATGAGTCTGGGCTTTGAGTGAGTCAGTGAGATGCTTGGTCTTGATGATGACTGATCTGCAAGCCTAATGTGGGTCTGGCATGCTTTACTTGATGATTTGCAGGCCCAAATAATTTTAATTATTAGTGCTTGGATGTTCAGTGCCCTCCTGGCTTCAGATATTCAAAGCCTTTATCCTATTACAGAGTTGCTCCGCTATAAGCTAATGGCCGCCGAGTAATTACAGGGACATTTTGTTGGAATCTGAATTGAGCATTAGATGCAAATCAACTTGCAAGACAGCTGTCATTCAGGGGTGGGATCCACCCTCACTCTGGGGTGAGCCACCAATTTCACATTTGACCTTTAAACAGGGTTTACCATCAATCTAGAGTATTCAATGTATTTTTATTAGTTTAGTCATGCATACCTATCGAGGATTTTTTTAAAACTTAATCTCTACTAAAGATGGAAAAGGGTCTCTATGCCTGGCTCTTCTGGTCAGTTAAATGCACAGAATAATAAAGGTCACTCGACTGCGTGAGTGGCTGCTTGATGGAAAAATAGATCAGCAAAAGAGCTAGAGAAAAAAACAAACGATGGAGGGTAGGCCCCAGTGATTCAAAAGGTTAACAACAGGTCAGCCAACACAAGCACACTCGGATGCTGAATAGATCTACTGAGGGAATCTTCATGGCTTTCATTGTTTTTTTTCTGGGACATTTGATTCTTCTATGCTTGTGCATTATAGTCATACTGCATCTTTACACATTTATTGTTATCAAAGCTACAGTTAAAACATCCTCAGAATGTGGCAGATGAAACAAAGAAAGTCTCAGGGTTGAAATCGAACATAGCAGAGGTTGTTTTAAATGTTTGGAGAGCAAAGTCAAGACAAGCATTCTGTATTTCTCGCCTTGTTTTCCAGGGGTCAGAGAGCCCCTTGGCTCAACTTCCATTCTGGGTACTCCTAAAATGGGCAAGCCTTTCCGGTCCAGCCTTTCAAACAATTAGCTATTATGTGACTGTGTAGTGAGTGGGTCTGCATCCTGTTTCTATGGCTGATTTTTCAGGCCTGGGGCCAGACAGAAGTTAGTGTTTCGTGGGTGTGCTGAATGGTAGAGTGTTTTGTGTGTGTGTGCCTTTTGTATACTTCTGCTTATTCATAAAAAGGCATTCAGTTATGTTGCCAAATTCTTTTCCAGTTTAGAGCAGTGCAAAGGGAATTACTAAAGCCACCCCTCTTCATTTCCTGTTCACAGGTCAGTGACTTCCTGTCTGGCCGGTCTCCTTTAACCCTGGCTCTGCGAGTAGGCGATCATATGATGTTTGTCCAACTGCAGTTGGCAGCGCAGCACTCGGGTGGCCCACAGTTACAGAATCGGCATCTCATATCACGTGGGAGTTCAGAGGGCACGACAGGACAGTCTCATCCAGCTTCAGGCTCTGCCTCTGGGATGGCAAGGGTTTCACACAACCCTCACCCACATCACCCGCACCCACATCCTCATCATCCAACAACACTCCCATCTAACCCAGCAGCCTTCCCACCTTCCCCCTCTATCCCATCCATTCCTCCCATGTACCCCACCTCAGCCTCAGGGCACTGTAGCCCTCCACTGCACCCCTCTCAACTCCCTGGAAGTTTTCTTCACTCCCAGAAACCATCTTCAGCCTGTCCCACCTCTCCAAGCAGCCCTAGCCCTGCAGCTTCCTGTCCAGAGGTTAGTCACTGTTTGTCCTATCTTATCCAATTCAGTAATTTTGTATAATAATGGTGATAAATTACATTTAAACAACGTCGTTTGCACTGCGCTCTTGCGTTACTTGATCTTTTTATTTTGGTGCGTCAATCTGTTGAGTTACTTAGTATAGGAAATTATGATCCGCACTCATGAGAACAATCTTTTTTCTTTTATTTTACAAGTTTGTAAAAGAAAAGAAAAAAGAAGATTGTTCTCGTGAGTGCAGATCATAATTTCCTATACTAGATAAATTACATTTACAAATTAGATTAGTAAGATGTGCAAACTATACTTGCATTTGACCACTGGCCCATATCTTGCACAGGCCAACTGCCCAGCAAAGACGTCTGGCAATTGTAACACTCCCTCGCGATCCCGCAAGCCAGGGGCTATCATTGAAAGTTTTGTGAACCATGCTCCTGGAGTCTTTTCTGGGACATTTTCAGGTACAACTTCTCAATAAGTTTAATATTTGATGACTCTGTATAAGACAGCTATATCTATAATAGTTATATATCTGTAATTTATATCTAATTTCTATACTGTTTTTTTTCTTTCCTAAGGCACTTTGCATCCTAACTGTCAGGACAGCACTGGACGTCCCAGGCGAGACATAGGCACCATCCTTCAAATCTTGAATGACCTTTTAAGTGCCACCCGGCATTACCAGGGCATGCCACCGTCGCTCACGCAGCTCCGTTACCAGGCCCAGTGCAACAGCCCCAGCTCACCAACACCGTCACCACCGCCTTCACCTCCCCACACCCCCGGACTAAGCGGCCTGCCTACTACAGTGCCCTCTGAGACCCATACCACCCTCCACCCACTGGTGCAGTGCCAGAGTCAGATCCGCATGTGCAAGCCTCCTGGTAAGTTTTATTGCATTTGCCGGAAATTATGCAGAGATGCATTTCCTAGAGCATTTACTTTAGTCAGTAGTATTTAGGATCTAGCCCAGAGGTTCAAGATTCATATCCAAGGCAGTGTTTATGTATTTTCAGAAGGTCCAAGACAAGGGTGCAAGGATAAGAAAAGTGAAGATGTTAGAGAGGGGGAGGAAGAACTAGGCTTGTTCTTTCAGGCCCTGGTAGTCATGCTCCAGCAGCCACAGCATGTCTGGCTTTGTCTCTGTGCTGATGGTGTCCTCTTTCCTCTGAGAGGCAAAGAATGGGGGTGGACTACTCTGTTACCAAGAGGAAAGAGGCAGAGAGGCAGAGAGCCAGAGTGAGAGAGATAACGAAGCAAGATAGCACTCACAGACGTGTGGCAGGTACCCCGCTCTGTCTGGTAAAAACTGATTATCTGGGGCAGCTCGCTTCAGCGCTGAGGAGGAAATTTAACTGCTCTGTCATGAAACACCACTGTTGGAGAGTACGGAGATAATGAAGAAATATCATCCTAGCGCTGTTCAAAGCGCAGGCCTGTTATCAATCTAGACTAGATTAAAAGCATACCAAGCTTACGCCGTACAATATGAAAACATATCATCAACTACTGGGGTGGAATAACTTCGGTCACTCGATTTTCACAAAGGGTAGGGAATCCTACTTGTTTTTTGAGGCGATACATACTTTTCCTGTGTGATAACCCCTCTTCCACTTGCATAATGCTCTATCATTGGTCTTTATACTTCCCCCACATTGAAAGTAAATAGGCCATCCTATTGGTTCCACTCTTGCTTGTCTGCAAAAACCATCCCAGCAGTCAAGGCCAGGGCTAGTCAATGGACACTTGTTTTCCTAGCAGCCTTTAAATAGAGATTTACACAAGAAATATGAGCTCCAAGAGAATGCTCATTGTGTTTGAAAGTCAGCAAGAGGAGGCGGAGGGAAAATACCAAGAGTCCATTCATAAAATTGTTGTTTATATCCGGCCAGCGACTGCCCACTGATTAATTGGCGCTTCCTCTTGGGCAAGATGGAAAAAAGGGAAGGGTGCTGTGGCTATTTTCTGGACAAAACCACCTTACTTGTCAACATGTTTTTGAACCCATGGTGTAGGGCGAGATTTAGTGTAAGATTGCTAGATAATACTCTTGAGCTCTTTAAGACCTATATGCTTTGCCACCTGGTAACCAACTTGCCTAACATGGGACAGACACCTCAGTGACTTTCATGACCGCTTTGAAATGTCACATACTTTTATCAGCTGTCTACTTGATGTGATTGCAAACCAAACAAACCCGATATCTAGGGCTGTGAAGGTCGCCGTGACAACCGCGTCACTGCTGTGGTCTATTGCCAGTGCACGTGACGTCACACAATCTATAACAAGCTTAAAACAAAGCTTTGTATACAAGTGTAATAACAGTAACAGTTGTTGTTTTATTTAGACTATAAGTCTTATGTTATTTCACAAATGACCTGAGCGCGTGTCTACACCGGACAGTTGTCGCGCCGCGTCGCAACACAATAGGTTGAGTCTGTCTACAGGACATTTGAACTTTGTGTCAGTACATCATAAATAGGATGAGGCAGTAGTTTACTGTCGGGGATTTGTCGTGTCATGTCACGCCACATCCAGTGTAGACAACTTCACTGATTATAATGGGTTATATAGCCTATTTTGTCGTGCCATGCCGCTCGCGTCCGGTGTAGACAGGGTGTATTTAACGCTCTTATTTAATGCTATTTTCTTATTTAACTGTATTATTTCTTTGATATTTATTTTAGTGTTTTGCAGGTCGCGTGTTCACTGACAGAAGTAAAAAAAAAAAAAACACTCACGTGTGTTAATAGATGATTGAGCCTCATTTATTTTTTGTGTTTCATAATATATATATATAGTTTATTTGTATATCGCTTTTTACGATACAAATCATTGCAAAGCAACTTTACAGAAATGTTTCTAGAATATTTAGTAGTAGCTTATCAGTGGTGACTGTCAGTTTATGTACATATGGCAGAATTGTACGGAAAAATCAATTTGACGTAATCAAACAGACGATGAACACTATTAACAGCAATTATTATATGCAGTCAAACTTATAGCAAAATGTGGTAGTTCTGTATGTTTCAGGGTTGGCATCATCTGAGGTCCTCTGAGGGGTTGGCATCATCTCTTCTCAGGTGTTCTGGATCCAGACTGAAGCTTGTGTAAATCCTAGTTACCACGGGATGTCAATCCCAGCAGAAACAGAGAAACAAATAGAGAAATAATTAGCGTAGCTGCTGTTCCAACCAAGTAAAATTATTTGTTTAACCCAAGCTAAAGAATAATAATGTGCATTTGATCAGATATAACTGCAGTACAAGATTATGAGATTCATTATTTGAATGCTTGGCCAAAGAGATGTGTCTTTAATCTAGATTTAAACAGAGAGAGTGTTTCTGAACCCTGAACGTTATCAGGAAGGCTGTTCCAGAGTTTGGGAGCCAAATGTGAAAAAGCTCTACCTCTAGTGGACTTTGCTATCCTATGTACTACCAGAAGTCCAGAGTTTTGCGACCTTAGGGAGCGTGATGGATTGTAGCGTGGTAGAAGACTAGTTAGGTACGCAGGAGCTAACCCATTAAGGGCCTTATAGGCAAGTAATAATATTTTGTAACTGATACGGAACTTAATAGGTAGCCAGTGCA